TGGGTTGTAGTCTTTATCTCTCCACTGCTGCAGTAAAAAGAAGTAGACTGTTATGTTCAGATTGAAGCAGATGAATCCCAGATAAATTGTCATGCATTTCTGTCACTCTACTCTCCTCCAGTTCAAACACAAACATACAGTAGTGATGAAACATGCAGTTATTCTACTGTTAACAAATACTTGGTACTCCTAAGTAGTTCCTGTTTGTGAGCTAATGAGTTGTAAACCTGTGTCTCTCATCCATCATCACTGCTCTAAACCTTCCGTCCCTGTGTGAACTCATCCCAGCATCGCCACACAGCAATCAGGAAACTATGAACGAACACACACACACACACAGACAGACACACACAAACACACACACACACACACCTCTCTGTGACAATGACATAGCCGTACATCTAAATGGACTATCATCCCTGACAGTTTAAGTAGCCTTTTGCATTATTTACCTTCCAGCAGCTCTTTGCCTGTCAGCTGTGGGTCACAACACTTTTTTTTTTTGCTCTAAAATATATGTCACAAAAAAGAAAAACTGTTCCATCTATGATTGGAAGCTATTATGCAAAATAAATCACATTCAGTATGCTGACGTGTTGGTCTGCTGCTCCACAAAGGAAACATCAGTCAAACTGAAGTGACAAACGTATGTGAAATAACGTGACAATATTGCATACCTGAATTACACACAACATGCTTGTGATATATTAACACACACAAAAAAAATGTGCTGCTCAATGTCATGTCACAATGCTTGGGTTTGGATGCAAAAGGCCGCTGCCCTCATATACCATCAACCAGTTTTTTTATTCTCCAATGTTCAACAACATTAACCTTTCCCCTGAGGAATCAATTACATTTTATTCAACTCTTCTCTAAGCATCCACTAAAGGTCACTGCACAAGAGATTGGATCGGTGAGAGTACAACTGTTTTATTCCCCTAAACCACAAGGGTGAACTGGCCTTTGATGTAAAACTTAATTGATTTATTTCCACAGCAACACATGAATGAGAGCATTTTCTTAACTCCTCACATTGAACGTCCTTCGATGAATCCATACACACGGCATTGTGTTGGAAATTATGCTTTGGTACTGATCAATGCTAAATTATTTTCCTTTCGAACAACCTTAGCAGCAATCAGTAGCCAAAAGGCTGATCATCCTCTTTCAAAGAGCTGTTTTAAAAGTTGGTCTATAGTGTCTTATTTGCAGTGTTTGACAGTGGCATCACTACAAATAGCAGCGTTCGACGTTTACATTTTTCAGTAGCTCTGTGACAGCACTGTTTTCAGAATTGAATAGCTTTTCAGTAGCTTAGCTGTTTTATTGTTGAAATAGTGCGGTAGCAAACAAGCTACATCGGCACCGCAACAAAGATGAACGCATTGGAGCGTTCCGTCGCGGCCCGAAATAAAACTGTTACGAATGAGTTTAAGACGTCAGCCGTACACGGACATGGTATTTGCTGCTGACATTGATAATTATCATAATTATTATAAACATCAGTATTACTATTGGCACCCCTACTGTACTACTATGACAAGTACTTGTCACGATATCAGCACAGACAACACATACAGGTAACCCTCTCACCTCTGGCTCTTGGGCTTAGTGTTCTTGACATAATTTGGCCCTTGGGAAAATCTAATAAGGGAACCCTGCTGTAAAGGTTGTGGGATATTAGTTAAAGATTGCTGCAGGCACAGTACTGTGTGCTCTCAGTAAAAAAAAACAAAAAAAAAACCTCTTTACCAAAGTTGACAGGACCTTTGCTGTGAACCGCCTGGCCTGAAAAATCCCCGTTAGACTTCAAGGTTTCCCTGTGGAGGTTTGGACCTCAAGTAGCTCCCAAAGCTCTTTCCAAACAGTGGGTCACTGATTGCCTTGTGAGTGCAGAAAATAAACAAAGCCAGACAGAATACAATGTAATCCAAATTGTTTCACACTATTCCTCTAATGCTAAGGCAGTGTTAGCATGTCATAACAAGCTGCAATGCACCAACAAAAGGCACAGATGAGACAGCTACTGGCGAGAAAACACTGATACAGTTCAAACATGTTAAAATCAGCTTTGAGAGTACAGTATCACTCGCACATTTTAAATGAAGACTTTTTGAGTCCTTGACAAATAATATTTTCTACTGCAGTCCTTCTATTAGACTTTTTTGAAGACATGTAAACTATCCTGCTTCACTAAAACAGACAGCAGCATTTTTTAAATCTCACAGTCTTCACCACACACAGCTTCAACACAGCAGGCTCCTCTGGCTGAGTTGTGAAACTGATATAAGAAAAAATGAATAAGGAATATGCCGCAGTGTTTCTTCTGCCCTATGGCACCACTTATTATGGATTGTTAGAAGACAGACAAACACAGTAAGTGCACATAACACAGATAAAGAGCAAATAAGCTGACCAGGTGTATGTCTAACTTTAGGAAGGGACAAATGAAACATGTGAAATATAGAGTTTTTGGTAATTCAGTTTTATGGGGTCCAAGAATGTGAAGCACAACAAATATTTTTTTTCTGAAGGAGTCACAACAAAGTGACAAACTGTTTACAGGAAACAGAGTGAATAGACCTTGAACAGAATATCAATTCAACTTGCAAACGTTTCCTGTTACTGTTTACAGGAGATGGTAGGCTTTTAATATTTTATCTGTCTTCTTGTTGTTTGGGTCTTGGTTTGGCAGTTTAAAGATCATTATTAAATCATGTGTCAGCAGGGTGGCATTAAGTATGAAAGGACTCTCTGGCGACATCCAACAGACAGTTTGTTTGTCGCCTTCAAAAATTCTTTATCAGTAAATGAAATAAAACGTGTGAGGATAGTTGAAATAAAAGTTGATGTGTTGTTATGGATGACTGCACACATGCATGATGGATTAAAGAGAGTTATAGCAATGGTAATGAGACAAATCTATCCAGCAGGGTCTCTTAATGAGACTCAATCAACATGGCTCTTAATGAGTCGGTGCTGCATTGAAAGGCTGGGGGACCTGACAGAGACAGGAGACGATCATGAGTCAGGTTTATGTATAACCCTCTGAGTGCCTCAGAACTCTTCAACAGCGTCTTTGTTGGATCCCCACACTAAAGAGCACCAGAGGGACTCGTTCTTTTCAACATTTAAAAAAGAAATGTCAACACCCATACAGCACTCCGTGCATCTGCTTTTTGACTAAATACAAAATATAATTATTTCAGTTTTATGTTTTTATGAGAAATTTGTCTAAAATGTGAACACTTAAAATACCTTATAGAGCTTTTTGAAAATTACAATACATTTGAACAGTTTGACTTTGTCCTGTTTACAGTTGATACTCAGCAAACACCGTGTTTGAGTCCATCACAATACAAACAACCTTACAATGCTTACAACTACTCGGAAAGAAAATGAAATTGAAGATTTTTATTTTAACTTTTACTTTAATGGATATGACGGTGTTTACAAAACAAGATCTACGTATGTTTTTGTGCTCTGAATCAGTTTTTATTTTTGTTAGTACAAATTTTCATGAAATTCATTCATCTTGGTAACTTTGTGAAATGTATTATTCAAGTCTGTCTACCACGTGTTAACACTCCTACTTTTGGGTGTCTGAAGCTGTAACCTTATATGAGTGAAACACCTAAGTAGTTGCAGATCTATATATGGATAGGAGCCACTAGACAGAGAGTCTACATCTGATACGTATACAAATCAGTGTCATGTCATCTTCATTGTTTATGGTGATGCACCCAAATAGAAAGGAATTTGTGGGTTGCACCTTTTTAACGGAATATAAGCAGCACTGTGAACACTGTTACTGTGTCAGCACTTTGTCAGTCAAGTGATTTGTAAGCATGCTTGTTTGATGAAGTTGTCTGACCTCGGTCGATTAAATGGTGTTATAATCTACAGTCTGTTTCACGATTTCTTCATTGGATTCATACAACAGAAACAATCCCCACCTAACAATTTTTTTCAGTTTGAGGGACTGAAAACTTTTGATACTGCTGTTTTGGTTCATGAAGGAAGGTTGTTTTTAATACTTCACTAAAGAATGAATCAACATGCCTTAGTGTTTTGTGAGTACTCCTACCTGTAATTTCATTTTATTCTCATTTGTTCAACTATCACATGGTCACATAATATGCACCTTAGAGCATTAAAACATCATTTAGACAGACATCTCTTTGTTTATCAATCATCTATGAAACATTACCTAATTAGAGTCTGACATGTTCAGTTAATCTCAATCAAATTAAACTTTATCAAGTTGTGAACAGCTCAATGTGAAGATATGAAGAAAAGATTAATTGTTGTCTAGGGCCGCATTAATGTGGTCTATTAATCCAGTCCAATTAGCACTGCAGTGCAGGCAGATAACATGAAAATAACACCTCTCTGTCTTTGGTAAGCTTTTCTTTCCAATACTCACACAGCAATTAATTAGTCAGCACTTTTCCAGTTTTTTAATTAGAAAGTCCTTCTTTAATTTGACTCATTATGAGGCCAGCACTCACTTAAATGACACACACATACACACACACACACACTAATAGCTTCCCCTAGCGTTTCTATCTTTGTGTGATGGATCGGTGTGTGTGTGTGTGTGTGTGAGAGAAGAGGCTGATGCAGGTTTGATTGGCAGGTGCTGTTGACACGGTAACAGGCAGTCTCCTGCTGCAGCTGACTGACCTCCAAACAGGACAGACAAGCAGAGCCCCAAGACATGGCCAGCCAATCTGAAACAACAAAGACTGAACCAAGCTACTTTTTTTTTTTTTCCAATATTGCCACCCAGAGAAAAGATAATGCAGCATTTCCCAGCAAAGATATTTCATGTTGAGGAAGGGGAAGCTGTATCTCAGGGTTGTATCACAGCTTTCCTGTTGGCATTACGGGTGCTTGCATTTAGAATTGGACACAGCTGAGGGCAAAACGCTGAAGATTTGGGACCCTGAGTAATCCTGCAGCAGATGTGAAATACTTGTGTTTGTTGTGAGTACCTGGAGGCAGGCTGGCTCTCTTCCTCTTCTTGCCGTTTTCTGCAGTGTTTTCCAGAGGAGGACACTCAGTCATCAGAGGCCCGCTGGAGCCGTTAAACTGAAGAGGGTCGTTGTTGGTTCCTGCATCAAAGGGCAGAGGGTTGAGTCCTGGAAGACACAAACACAGAAGGCCTGATTAAAGTGAATGAAGTGATGGCTGCTGACCAGAAGGGGAAAAACACTGAAACATCAAAAAGAGAAACAACTAGAGTATTCAGCTTTTTACTGTGCTTTTGATGTACAAACACTGCAGGCTTTATTCAGTCAGGCATCTAGAAATACCTCATACGCACTTTTATTTCAACATTCCTTAGATGGAGATGTTGGAGGAAAAAAATAATCAACGGTCAGGATTCAAATCCAGAAATGCCATTAGATGTAAAATCCCAATTAAAAGTCGAGAACAGCTGCTTAATGACCCTTGTAAGATGTGAGACATGCGTTCTTTATCTAAATCAATCTATGGGTATATGAAATCAAAGTGGAGATACATTAATAAGCTGGGGTCTCATACATAACCGTTGCAAACACACAAAAAATGGGGCCGAAACTAGCACAGGCAACTTCCAAAGTCTATGATCTATTAAAGCAAACCAGACGGGACCGCACCGTTTAGCAAACTCTGACCCAGGTGGATGTACATTTTGGAGGCAGGGGAAATATTCCAGTAAAGTGTGATTCTTGGTTTTAATAAAGATTACAGAGCCGTAAGAGGCACAGAGCACACAGAGACATGATGCTGGCTGTCTAACTTATTTATTCATTACTCAGCACATCTTCATCACCTGCATGAATTTATTGTGTAAATGAGTAAAGAGTGGACATTAAGTCGGGACATCTATCACAGGATAAACAAAACTTTTGTCTGAAAAACCCTGGGTCATGAGCTATAAAACATCAGAAGAAAGTGAAAAAATGAATTTAAAAAAATATGATATCAATCCATGAAGAAATATGGAGACCGAATGCTTAAAAACTTGTAAAAAAAAAAATCCCTTCACTATATTTATGTACTTATCCCAACTGATGCTCAATGATACACTGGTTTATTGAAGTCCATTCAAGGTCAACCCTCGAAAGAATAAAAACGAGTGTGTGTAAAAATATGATGAAAATATTCTAACCCTGACTATTGATCTGAACAAAGGCTGTGAGATAGAAAAAATAATTCATGCTAAAAACAGAAATATGGCTTTAACAAAGTCAGCATTTCATCCTCACTTCGACACTGATGCCGAAAGAGATTGTCCTATACTGGCGACACTAAAGGTATTTCTCCATAAAGAAGTTCAGAAACACATTATAATGAAGTCTATCTATCAGACTGCTCAGTGGAGTGAATTTTTCTGTTCGCATTTCCATTTTCCTCTCCATTATCTCACAGAATAAACAGCCACATCATGAATACAAGAATGTAGGAACATTTACACACACGAGTCATGAAAACAAAAATTCATATTCTCCGGAGTCCTAAATGAAGGATAAACAACTTAACTTGTGTTTTATGCTTAATGTATTGCTCTTCTCCTGTCATTGAGCTGTGTTTGTTTATGATCCAGAGCAGAGAGCTGGGGAGAATCTGTCTACATTCATGAAAAAGTCATGACATTTCTTTGTGCACAGATTTGTTTTCTCCTCAATTGTGCAGAATAGATCAGAAGCTCCACATCAATGTGGCTCTATCAGTGTCCATAGGACAACAATCGGTTAGGAACAAAGTCAGACAGTGCTCTGAAAATCAACTCTACGGATTAAAACTGTTTACTGTTGTTTCAAATTACAACCCGACTGATTTATTGGCCAACCAATCACATCAGGCCGATGTTAGAATATCCAGTGAAAATCGGTATCAGCATTTGAGTTTTGTGGTATTACACTAGCAGTTCTCTTCTGGCTGTCACCATCGAGTGTGCTGTATGAATTATAACAAGCATTATCACCCTCCAGAGTGTCAAAGTGATACACGCGCAGTTACTTTCCAGTTGAGGGTCAATCTTGTCTTCATTATATATCTTTTTCACTAGTGTTTGATAACTGCATTTGAGAGATCAACGCAACAAATGTGTATCTATCTATCTCTATAGATTGAACTCCGCAATATTGATATCGGCCCCAAAAATCCCATATGTGTCCGGCCCTATATAAACCCACATGTAAAGAGTCTTACTTCATGAGTGATTTTGAAAGAAAACTATTACTGTATGAAGAGATGTAATGACAAAACACTGATGACACAATGACAACTGGTTTTTGATTTAAGATTGATTTACAGAAACTAAAATTTTGATAATCAGCCTCAAATGTCGGCCCAAATGTTTGAAATACACACGGTGCATTCAAGCGGATACTGATGTTTGTATAAACTCTCCTTTTCTGCTGTCTCTCTCAGACTCAGACACACACTCTCTTATCCTGCATAGGTATTAACACTGTAACAGTATCCGCCGTATGTCCTCAGTTATCAGGGATTTTCTACATTTAAAGAGAAACTGAATAAACATGTCTAAAAGGAGAACAAGCAGTCTCAGAGCGGAGGCAAAGGCCGTGCTGAATATCAGACAACACAGTCTGAAAAATAAAGCCTTAAAATACATTTAAAGCTGTCAGAGAGAGATCTGTTTGATTTATGCAGAACATCCAAATCCAAATAGGTTTTCTGTTTTATGTCGATTGAAACTCAGCACTCATCCGTCTCACTTCTTTGAAGATGACTGTCAATACTGCGGCGAGTGAAATAAATTGATCACTTAAATTGTAAGGCCAACTCTGTCACCAATACACAGCTGCAGTCTTCATCAAAAGAGAGAAAGTATTTCAGTGAAAAGCATGAGTGTTCCCATTCAAAAGGTTTTTTTTTTGTTTGTTTTACTAAAAGTAAAGAGTTTCTTCACTCTCTTCACTCTTAACAACTATATTGACCAGAAAAAAGACTGCAAATGTGGAATAAATGTCGACTCCTGTGAACGGAGGAAATGGGTTGCAGTGAAATAAATGTGATTTAAAACTTGTGTAGAGCAACATGACCGACTGCATTTCATCCGAATAATGCCGTTTCACCATGCTCTGGAGGGATAGTGTTAAAGTCTAAAGCTCTGAGGCAGAAGTGGAGAAAAGCATTTTACAGATTCAGTCTCACTACTACAGCCTCTGTCTGCTGTGCAACTCATCTTTCTCGAGGCTGATGGATAGAGTGTATAAGTTTCAACATCTGGCCAGAGGGAGGAGTGATGTCATGGGGGGGGGAGGGATAAATACCAGGGGGCTGGGTGGAGACGGGTGGAGGCTGCAGAGTAAATTAAAAGGGAATAAAAATGCTGAACTAGGAAACAAACTTTAAGCTCTGCATTCTCAGGAAGCAACATGACAGTGAGCTCAAATAAAATGGAGAACGCTTTAACAGCGAGCAGCGTTAAAGGTTAAAGGGAGGCAGGAGGAGAGGGGACCATAAAAATACACAATTAACCGCAGCATGTCATTAAAAACCATATAACTCATCGAATGTGAAACCAACCAGTGCATCTACAGAGCAGAGTACATGAAGAACTGTCTGTTTATTATGATGTTCACATGTTATAAGACAGGTCAATCACACAACTAATCAATAATTAAACCTTCTGTAAGCTAGGCCGGAGTGATTCAAGGCGGACATTGTGATGGTTTCATCGGTTTATCGTCTTGTCATGTTTTTCAATCGATGATTTTGCACATAACATACCACTTCTGAGGTTAAACAGATTCTGAAGTCCTTGAATAACTTAAATATAATTCCTATACATTACTTTAGCTAAACAATTAGTTGTCAGTAGTCAGCATATTGCATGATAACTGGATCTGGGTCAGATAATACCAGACACAGAGGTAATCCAGTTTGTTGCCACATTGTAGCATGAAATATGAGAGCCATCAAATCAGTGTAGTATTATTATTCTTTCATAATGTCTTCAAGGCAGACCTGCGGCTGTGGGGATCAAACCTGTGATCTTTCTTTAATCGCGGCTGTGTTTGGTTTCAATGATTCCCTCAGTAACATGTTCTCCCGTTGTCCTTCATCTAACTCTGATCAGCAAATAAACACAACAATGCAACATGAATAATTCAAAGGGTACGGAAAATGTGCATCAGCACAACAATGTGATTCTAAACTGAGGGCGGTGTCAAGATACAGGACTATAATCTGACGTAGATTAGAAACATGTAAAAGCAGTTTAGACCAGGGATGGCCATTTACAGTCATCTAAATACTCAAGAACTCGCATTAACCCATGAACGAGTACTCCCTGGTTATATATATTTTTGTTTGTTTTCTGCGCTGTGCTGCTCTGTGTGTCTGCAGGCCAGCGGTCTAACATGACTCCTGGTGAGCGCTGTCTAAGAGTTCTGTAAAAAGACAAAAAAGGATAACCTAAGAAATGTAAATGCCTTCTTTCTTGAAATTTGAATTTTAACATGGCTGTGTCGATTTCAAATTTAGAGTCAATCAGCAGCATAAGTACAAAACAGGAAGATGCATTTGAAAAAGCAAGCTTTAGCCTCGCAAGGTCAGGAACTCAGTCAAATCTAAAACAAACACAATGGCAACGTTTTAGTATCAAAAGGTTGCTGAAGTATTTGGCAGCTGGTGAGTCCACAAACAGGATCCTAAATTAGACTTCAGTCTCCTGAAAGGTTACCGAGGAAACAAAGTCACAGGACCTCCATTAAGTCTTTGCTAAAAAAGTTTCTCCACAGATCAGTGAGCACAATAAAATGAGATATTACTCTATTCATAGCCTGCATAGTCCATCAGAACAACACAACATGTTCTGGCCGAGGCTACGACCACGAGCTCCCAGGCTCCTAAAAAGGGAAGCACACTGTCAGGTTGTGAGTGTCCTTAACAGATGTATAAACAAGGTGTCTGACTGATATGGCTTAGCAGAGGAAGGTGAAGCATGCCAAACAGCTGAGGTATTCTCATGAGGTCTATTAGCCAAGCTTTTCACTTCCTGTGTATTTATAGAAAAGACAAAGAGCCGTTAAAAACAACAGACAGTTCATACAAACTGTGGACACCCAGGGCGGTTTCGTGTGTGCAGCTGCTCCAACATGCAGACTTTGCTGATTTTAAC